CCCACTCCTTCTCCCACCTCCCCCCTCCTGCATATTTTTCATAAAAGGTTGGTTTGGGAAACACACCCCTTCTCTCTTACTCTCTCTCTCTCTCTCTCTCTCTCTCTCTCCTCCCTCCCTGTCTTCCAAGCCGGGCCCAACCCAGATCCCCATTCTCTCCCTTTGTCATTCATCTGGCCTCATCCTTTCACTGCCAGGATAAAAGAGCCCGGTGCATTGTGGGTAGGCTCAATTTAAAGAAGGGTCCCCTCCCCTGTGTGTGTTGTGGGAGAGCTGGTTTTATGTTACCCCCACACACTCAAAAACGTTCCAACACACACTCCTCTCTTGTGCTCTCTTTCCAAGCTCTGCGCCGCAATTCAGCTCAATGCTAACAACCTGCTTTTGCACACACTTGAATGTATCTTTCAATCATTCGTTTATAATAATTCCCTCAAATGATCTTTCACGTCACTAACCCCTTCCCATAAGTCGTGTACCACTACAAATTAAATAAACACTGTTAAAGGTGGACATTCATGTCAATGTATGTGATCTTTCTTGTAAAAGATGTACTTGTTATGGTGAAATGACCCTACAAATGGTTGGTTGAACTGTCACACACTTTATCTGACTGGCCATAAGTCAAAAAAAGTGGAACACAGTGATTCATTTTGAGCCAAGTAATACTGTGTTAGTGTTTCCCAATTTCCCGAAAAAACAAAAGCTTATGAGTGAAGTGAAGCCTTTAAATGAACATTTGCAGTCATTTCTTTCTTCTATATCACTTGTTAAGCCTATAAAGACCGAAGGCACTATTGGTTATACGTCTCAACACCTATATATCTGAGTTTAGAGCTCTCATTGAGTCATGTTTTGCATGCGTTGCAACTGATATTACGCGACTGTGGGAGGGTCGTGGGAAAAGGGACACTACAATACGTCTTCTTGCATGTCCAACCTGTTGGTGTTGACACATTTGCTGGGTGTCGTCCAGCTGCAAACGTTTGAGCAATGAGGGTTAGAAATGTGCTTTAAACAACAGTTTGTGGTTTGGGAGTTTTCATTTCAGTGTGATGCTGGATTTAAATTCTCGGGGGAAAAAAAAGTTATTGTTATTATTGAAGCAGCTGTTTCTTTCTGAGCTGCTGCTGAACCATCACTGACCTCAAATGTTCTGATGCATTTGATTTGTCGGATCCAGACTCCAGGAGAGTTAGATGTTTTGATGCCGTGGCGGTCCGAAGGGGCTCGCTGCTCGCCCGCTCGTCCTTTCCTCTCTCCCTCCCAGTCTCTCACTTCTGCAGGATGTTTTTGTTGAGCTGGGTTCCCTATTGTTCACACACTGAGTTGGCTGGCCTCCCAGGGCTGCTGCTGACTGCTATAGGCCCCCTAATAGGTTCTTCATGTGCTTTGGCTTTCCTCGCTCCTCTTGGTCTGGGGCTTCAGTGAGCCAGACAACACAAGGCATTTTGGGAGGAATTCTGCAGACATGATTCCGAGAGAAAACAGATGAAGAAATATCCAGACGACTTAAGAGAGCAGCTTTGAAATTACTTTATTAAAACAGCGTAACTGAAGCAGGACGACACCCAGCTAATGTTTCAGTTTACAGTTTAAGTTGTCTATTTTCGCATTTTAGACATAAATGTAGTCAAATATAGTTTTTGCGTCGATGTTACAGCAGCTGCAATCAAGTGCGTCTGTGTGATAATCGTCTATCTCCATTCAAAAGGCCATTGTTCTGCGTCTCATCAAATATTCATATCCATGCTTACACCCCTCATTTAAAGCGTTACACTTGATCTGTGGGACACAAGTTTAACTGAACATCTTGTGATATGTGTGAAATGCAGTTTAATTGGTTTCGCAACACTAAATTCCTCATTCTCTAACGGCTCCTGTACAAAGAGGCGAGCTTTGTTTGTGAGACTGTGTAATACTTCCTCAAAGGGCCTTCGTATTGAC